GGGGGGGGGGGTACAACCCTTGCTGCAAGCATATAGCAGCGGGGAGGTACGGCCAACAACGAGGCACAGCCGGGAGACGGGGGGCAGCCTGATGGATGTGTCTCGCATCGTTTCTCTTTTTCCATCCCCTGCAGGTCCGTCCTCATTCAGGCCCTTCCCCGCCCTTCCCCGCACTGCCGCTGCACCGCGGCCTCGGCGTTCTAATTTTGTTTGAAACGGGGAGGACGGACGATGGGCGTGCAAAGCGTGAGTGAGTGAATGAGTGAGTGACCCCCTTGTCTTTTGTTGTGCGGGGGGCGGGGGTTGCGGCGGCGGCGAGGCGGAGAGCCGCGCTCCCCATACTGACCGCTCTTGCCGACGGCGGGCGCTCCCAGGACGGCCACCTTCACCTCGGAGAGCGAGGACTTTTTGCGCCGAATGCCGCGGATCGCGTTGGACGTCATGACGTCATGAGGGCTCTGCAACACAAAAGGCGAGAGGGGGGGCGGTCACAAAACTGAGTCTGAGGAATGCACATTCGCGACGCCAAGACCAGACCAGACGCCCCCAAGCGTAAACTAAAATTCGCATTCCTCGGGAATATTCTTACGGCGTGTGTATGAGGGGGGGGGGCATAAATCACATCGACGCGTTTAGAAGTCGACTGTTCCGTCCCTCCCTCGCCGTGCTCGCGGCTTGAGTAGAGTTTTGCGTCCGGCCCCCAGTTATTATATTGGGCGGAAGTGGGAAGTGGGGGCCAGAGTTGTGAGTTGTGCTGAGGGGGCACATGGCATATGCGTTGTTGAGGAGCCGCACTTGCAGGGCCGGGAGGGGATAGGGGAGGCCGCCGATGTACTCCCACCCCAAGGACGCGGGGTCCGCGTCCGAGACCCTGCACCTCGTATGGCCGCAGACCTGGCCCTGGCCCCGCACGTGTGCCGGGCACACTGTGCCCCGTGGGCGTGGTGGACTCTGCTGCTGGCACGCGGCGGCCAGGTGGCGGCGGGGTCGCCTCCACACCCCGCCACCGAACACGTTACCGATATGCTGAGAGGCATCTGCTAATAATTGCCAACATGTCCTGCCCGGGGCGGGCCGGGCTGCCGCCGGGCTGCTGCTGTGCTTGGCCCCGCACGCGCCAAGGGTGGTGCAACCGCGGGCTGCGCGCGCGCGCGCCCCGGGGAAAAGGGGTAGGCGAGGCGGTGGTAGGCGTCACCGTCGCCGGCCTACTCTTCAGCCACTGTTTTCGGAACGCACTAAAGCTGCCTCACAAAATTTGTCCGCGGGGAGTGGTTTCATCAGAAAATAAAACTATTCCTTGGATTTTACGCATTGTTCTTCTTGTATCTTTAGAG